CTTTATTCACCCACTCACATATTGACTCCTTTATTCACCCACTCACATTCACACTCCTTATTCACCCACTCACATACAGCTTCCCTTAGTCACCCACACACACACAGATTCCCTTATTCACACACACACACACACCGATTCCCCTATTCACCCACTCACATACAGACTCCTTTATTCACCCACTCACATGAAGACTCTTTTATTCACCCACTCACATACAGATCCCCTTAGTCACACACACACACAGATTCCCTTATTCACCCACTCACATATTGACTCCTTTATTCACCCACTCACATATTGACTCCTTTATTCACCCACTCACATACAGATACCCTTAGTCACACACACACACACACACACACACACACAGATTCCCTTATTCACCCACTCACATATTGACTCCCTTATTCACCCACTCACATATGGATTTCCTTATTCATCCACTCACATACAGATTCACCCCCACACACACACACACAGATTCCCTTAGTCACCTACTCACATACAGACTCCTTTATTCACCCACTCACAGATTCCCTTATTCACCCACACACATACACACACAGATTCCTTTATTCACCCACTCACATATTGACTCCTTTATTCACCCACTCCCATACAGATTCCCTTATTCACCCACTCATATTCACACTCCTTATTCACCCACACACATACAGATTCCCTTATTCAACCACTCACATACAGACTCCTTTATTCACCCACTCATATTCACTCTCCTTATTCACCCACACACATACAGACTCTTTTATTCACCTATTCACATTCACACTCCTTATTCACCCACCTACATACAGCTTCCCTTAGTCACCCACACACACAGACTCCCTTAGTCACACACACACACACACACAGATTCCCTTATTCACCCACTCACATACAGACTCCTTTATTCACCCACTCACATACAGACTCCCTTATTCACACACACACACACAGACTCCCTTATTCACCCACTCACATACAGACTCCTTTATTCACCCACTGACATACAGACTCCTTTATTCACCTACTCACATACAGACTCCTTTATTCACCCACTCACATACAGACTCCCTTATTCACCCACTCACATACAGACTCCCTTATTCACCCACTCACATACAGACTCCTTTATTCACCCACTCACATACAGACTCCTTTATTCACCCACTCACATACAGACTCCTTTATTCACCCACTCACATACAGACTCCTTCATTCACCCACTCACATACAGACTCCCTTATTCACCCACTCACATACAGACTCCTTTATTCACCCACTCACATACAGACTCCTTTATTCACCCACTCACATACAGACTCCCTTATTCACCCACTCACATATTGACTCCCTTATTCACCCACTCACATTCACACTCCCTTATTCACCTATTCACATACAGACTCCCTTATTCACCCACTCACAAATTGACTCCCTTATTCACCCACTCACATTCACACTCCTTATTCACCCACTCACATATTGACTACTTTATTCACCTACTCACATACGGACTCCCTTATTCACCCACTCACATATAGATTTCCTTATTCATCCACTCACATACAGATTCACCCCCCCCACACACACACACACAGATTCCCTTAGTCACCTACTCACATACAGACTCCTTTATTCACCCACTCACAGATTCCCTTATTCACCCATACACACAGATTCCTTTATTCACCCACTCACATATTGACTGCTTTATTCACCCACTCACATATTGACTCCTTTATTCCCACTCACATATTGACTCCTGTATTCACTCACATACAGACTCCCTTATTCACCCACTCGAATTCACACTCCTTATTCACCCACTCACATATTAACCTCTTTATTTACCCCCACACATAGATTCCCTTATTCAACCACTCACATACAGACTCCTTTATTCACCCACTCATATTCACACTCCTTATTCACCCACACACATACAGACTCTTTTATTCACCTATTCACATTCACACTCCTTATTCACCCACCTACATACAGCTTCCCTTAGTCACCCACACACACAGACTCCCTTATTCACCCACTCACATATTGACTCCCTTATTCACCCACTCACATATGGATTTCCTTATTCATCCACTCACATACAGATTCACCCCCCCACACACACAGATTCCCTTAGTCACCTACTCACATACAGACTCCTTTATTCACCCACTCACAGATTCCCTTATTCACCCACACACATACACACACAGATTCCTTTATTCACCCACTCACATATTGACTCCTTTATTCACCCACTCCCATACAGATTCCCTTATTCACCCACTCATATTCACACTCCTTATTCACCCACACACATACAGATTCCCTTATTCAACCACTCACATACAGACTCCTTTATTCACCCACTCATATTCACACTCCTTATTCTCCCACACACATACAGACTCTTTTATTCACCTATTCACATTCACACTCCTTATTCACCCACCTACATACAGCTTCCCTTAGTCACCCACACACACAGACTCCCTTATTCACACACACACACACACAGATTCCCTTATTCACCCACTCACATACAGACTCCTTTATTCACCCACTCACATACAGACTCCCTTATTCACACACACACACACACACACACACAGACTCCCTTATTCACCCACTCACATACAGACTCCTTTATTCACCCACTGACATACAGACTCCTTTATTCACCTACTCACATACAGACTCCTTTATTCACCCACTCACATACAGACTCCCTTATTCACCCACTCACATACAGACTCCCTTATTCACCCACTCACATACAGACTCCTTTATTCACCCACTCACATACAGACTCCATTATTCACCCACTCACATACAGACTCCTTTATTCACCCACTCACATACAGACTCCTTTATTCACCCACTCACATACAGACTCCCTTATTCACCCACTCACATACAGACTCCTTTATTCACCCACTCACATACAGACTCCTTTATTCACCCACTCACATACAGACTCCCTTATTCACCCACTCACATATTGACTCCCTTATTCACCCACTCACATTCACACTCCCTTATTCACCTATTCACATACAGACTCCCTTATTCACCCACTCACATATTGACTCCCTTATTCACCCACTCACATTCACACTCCTTATTCACCCACTCACATATTGACTACTTTATTCACCTACTCACATACAGACTCCCTTATTCACCCACTCACATATAGATTTCCTTATTCATCCACTCACATACAGATTCACCCCCCCCCCCCCCCCCCCCCCCCACACACACACACAGATTCCCTTAGTCACCTACTCACATACAGACTCCTTTATTCACCCACTCACATACAGACTCCTTTATTCACCCACTCACATACAGACTCCCTTATTCACCCACTCACATACAGACTCCTTTATTCACCCACTCACATACAGACTCCTTTATTCACCCACTCACATACAGACTCCTTTATTCACCCACTCACATATTGACTCCCTTATTCACCCACTCACATTCACACTCCCTTATTCACCTATTCACATACAGACTCCCTTATTCACCCACTCACATATTGACTCCCTTATTCACCCACTCACATTCACACTCCTTATTCACCCACTCACATATTGACTACTTTATTCACCTACTCACATACAGACTCCCTTATTCACCCACTCACATATAGATTTCCTTATTCATCCACTCACATACAGATTCACCCCCCCCCCCCCCCCCCCACACACACACACACACACACACAGATTCCCTTAGTCACCTACTCACATACAGACTCCTTTATTCACCCACTCACAGATTCCCTTATTCACCCATACACACAGATTCCTTTATTCACCCACTCACATATTGACTCCTTTATTCACCCACTCACATATTGACTCCTTTATTCCCACTCACATATTGACTCCTGTATTCACTCACATACAGACTCCCTTATTCACCCACTCGAATTCACACTCCTTATTCACCCACTCACATATTAACCTCTTTATTTACCCCCACACACAGATTCCCTTATTCAACCACTCACATACAGACTCCTTTATTCACCCACTCATATTCACACTCCTTATTCACCCACACACATACAGACTCTTTTATTCACCTACTCACATTCACACTCCTTATTCACCCACCTACATACAGCTTAGTCACCCACACACACACAGACTCCCTTATTCACACACACACACACACCGATTCCCTTATTCACCCACTCACATACAGACTCCCTTATTCACCCACTCACATATTGACTCCTTTATTCACCCACTCACATACAGACTCCTTTATTCACCCACTCACATACATACATACTCCCTTATTCACCCACTCACATACAGACTCCCTTTTTCACCCACTCACACATTGACTCCCTTATTCACCTACTCACATTCACACTCCTTAGTCACCCTCTCACATATTGACTCCTTTATTCACCCACTCACATACAGACTTCTTTATTCACCTACTCACATACAGACTCCTTTATTCACCCACTCACATATTGACCCCCTTATTCACCCACTCACATTCACACTCCTTATTCACCCACTCACATACAGACTCCCTTATTCACCCACTCACATATTGACTCCTTTATTCACCTACTCACATAGAGATTCCCATATTCACCCACTCTCATATTGACTCCTTTATTCACCCACTCACATACAGACACTTATATACAGACTTCCTTATTCACACACACTTATATACAGACTTCCTTATTCACACACACTCACATACAGACTCCCTTATTCACATACAGACTCCCTTGTTCACATACATACTCCCTTATTCACACACAGAAAATAGAAAAGAAGAGACTAGCATTTTTCGATTCAGCTAAAGAGGCGACTATTGGCAGACAAGGAAGAATCGCCGAGACTGCCCTTATCTAGTGCTGTATCATTTCCCTGATAAAGGTCACCGATTAGCTGTGGTCACCATGGACACAACACGACAACATAAAGCAAACGAAACAAACTGGAAACTGTTGAGAGTATTTTATTGAATGATATTTATCCAATACTGCAAGGTAATAAATAATATGGATTGCTTATATGTACAACAAGGCAAATCTTATTTGCAGACATTCGAAGTCGATAATTGAAAATCGATAAGCCCTTCAGTGTACACACGATGAAAGTTCGTATTCCGGAAGATAGTGTTTTGATCGGCCATAAATGACAACAGATATGTGTATCACAAGTTTGAGCCCTTGCTGTATCTAAGTGTTACGTCACAACACAGTAAAACAGTGATCCACACAACGAGGTGAAAATTACGTCTACAAGAAGCCCGTGCTATAAGAACCCCTATACCTACCGGACAGGAAAATAGATGTACACATTGTATTTACCAGGCCCCGATAAATGGATTGTTTTTGCTCCGCATTTTCTCCAAAATCATATTACCTGTTTGGGGAAATGACAATTATGGCTTCCAACGGCTTCAATTATCCAGTGTCGCTGCCTTCTATATGTATCAAAATGGTAGGAGATATAACACACTGGATAATCGAGGTTGTGTTTTCAAAGAGTGAAGTATACATTTCATGATTGCCTACTCGTTTTACCTTTAATATTTAGGCAATGTGGTATTTAAGGAACATTATAAAGTACCTCTTCATGATCAGAAAATAGAAAATAAACACACCACATTAATCTTTAGAAAATATAGCTACTTTTTTCTAACGATTTTTTTTATTGTTATCGGTGAAATTCCGAAGAACAGTTAATAATCTGTGATGGCCCGACAATAATATTGTAATACTGGAGTAGTTTAGTCTCAATAATGCAGATGCCATTGTAGTCGCGCCCTTTCCTCCATCGTGGTCTGATGCTGGTACGGCAAGGTGGACGTCTCTTCCCCGTTTGTCCTGAAGCACTCGGGCTTGGCGTTTTCCAGTTCAGTCAACTGAGGATATGACTGTAGCGTCTCCACCCCCATGTCCTGCACCCCGTAGCCGTCAGCGACCCGGGGCTGGTACTGCGCGTTAGACCCCTCGTTATACACCGGGGTCTCATACGTCGTGGGGTATTGTACATTCTGCCTGTAGCGGGGTTGTTCCCACGCCCATGGAGCTCGATCTAGGGGCTTCGAAGCTGGAGGGTTCACTCCCTCCGAGTTCCATTCGGGGTGTACAATGAAGTGGGATTTAGCCGAAAATGAGTTCTGAAAGCAAATGATTATTTGAGTATGTTATTTGTACGGAGAGAGAGGTTTTACGACACGTTTAGTGAGAGTGAGTATGGTTTTACGCCGCTTTTAGCAATATTCCAGCAATATCACGGCGGGGGACACCAGAAATGGGCTTAACACATTGTACCCATGTCGGGAATAGAACCCGGGTCTTCGGCGTGACGAGCGAACGCTTTAACCACTAGGCTACCCGACCGCCCCACGACGCGTTTAGCAATGTACCAGTTGAAATAAGGCGGCAACACCAGAAAAAAGCACTTCACATATTGTTTGTTTGTTGTTTAACGCCGCAGACAGCAATATTCCAGATAAATGACAGCGGCCCGTAAAACAAATCGAGTCTGGACCAAGCAATCCAGTGATTGACATGAGAATCGATCCACGCAATTGGGATGCGATGCATCAACCAAGTCAACGAGCTCGACAATCCGACATATTGATGATGTCAAGTATGCGTCAAAACAAGGTGGCACGTTTGGTCTCCCCCGCCGTGATATTGCTGGAAAAGCTAAAAGCGGCGTTAAACCCATTCAACCACACATTCAAAACAGAGTTGGGGGCACCAGTCCATTCTCCCTCCTCTCTATCAACCTATCATTTGTTTGTTTGTTGTTTAACGCCGCACTCAGTAATATTCCAGCTATATAAGGGTGGTCTGTTAATAGACTTGAACAGACAATCCAGTGATTGACGAAATGAGCATCGATCCACGCCGCACTCAGCAATATTCCAGATATTTGACGGCGGTCTGTCGCTTTTGGGTTGCCGAAGACCTATTCTAACCCGGATCTTCAAGGTATCACGCATTGCACCCATGTAGGGATTCGATCCCGGTCTTCAGCGTGACGAGCGAACGCTTCAACAACAACCGACCTATTTAAAATTTCCAAAGAAGAAGGCGGTGAAGGTCGATGCGGTATGAGTGAGAAGATACTATGAGTGAGTGAGTGAGTATGATTTTACGCCGCTTTTAGCATTATTTCAGCAATATTACGGCGGGTTACACCAGAAATGGGCTTCACACATTGTACCCATGTCGGGAATCGAACCCGTGTCTTCAGCGTGACGAGCGAACGCTTTAACCACAACCGCCCCATTTAACATTTCCAAAGAAGAAGGCGGTGAAGGTCGACGCGGTGTTAGAGGAGATACTGTAAGGGTAGGTACACAAAGAAATCGGTATATAATTGGTTGCAAAAATATCTTAACGTTTAATCAATTACCAAGTCAGTAACACTGACAGAAGGTCGAACATATCAATACGTTTGATGTCACATTGATACCGGAGATTAGTTTATAGACTGATACAATTGAACACTGTGGTGTTTGACAAACATAACTGACTTTATCAGATATCATTGCGTTAAAAGACGAATTGTCACTGAACAACAATAGTCGTTTTAAATCGATCATGAAACGTTGCACCCCTTACAGTACTGATCTGCATATGATAAGCCATATATACTCAAACACAAACGTCATTGTGGCCATATAAATTGCTATTATACTCTGCAAAAAAACCACCGCAAAATTAATTTTTAAATGAATATTTTATATATCATATAAATAATCAACAGATGGTAATCGATTGTTCAAAATTGGCACCCATCATTGTCACTGACCCAGTAGATTTTCAAGGTGAATGTCATCTGTTCTCAATATCTTGTATGGCCACGGACTGGCATCGTGGTCCCATGTAAGCAATCAGATCCCGAATTGTGGCCTGGGGAATGTTCACCCACTCTGTCTGCAGTGCTTGTGCCAGCTGTCGGAGGTTCTGTGGTTCCCATAAATGTTTCATTGGGTTTACACCTGGAGGGCCATGGCAGGACCTTGATGTTGTGATTCCTGAAAAGAGCTGTTGTCAGTCTTGCGGTGTGAGGTCGGGCGTTGTCTTGTTGGAAAATAACGTTCGCTTGTTGCATAATGGGAAGGACGTGTGGCCGAAGAATCTCATCCATGTAACGTTGTGACGTTAAACTCTCCAGAACTTGCACCAAGCCTGTTGTACCAGTGTAGGAGATGACCGCCCACATTATCACACTGCCACCACCAAATCCGTCCCCTTCCTGTATGCAGTTTCATGCATAACGTTTCACCTGAAAACACGACGTCTACCACCCCCACCGCGAAGCATAACACGTGGCTAAGCCAAACTTGAATCCATCGCAGTCGGCCATACTCTGTGACCTTGAAACAGTGCTGCCCAGGCCGACGATGCAGATCCGTCAAAATGACACCTCGAACTGATCGTCCAGCGCGAATACCTTCAGTGCGTAAACGGTTCCTCACTGTCTGGGCTGATGTCCCACGCGTAGTAAACCTTGCTACAGCTGAAGATGTTTCTCCTGTTTTCAGTCGGCCAATGGCGTTTTTGAGTTTGGCTTTCATCAATCGTGGCATGTTTTCGCTTTTCCCTTGCTGTAAGATTGTGATGGCATGCAAATGAAACCCAACGTGTTCATAACGTGCATGTCATGTTGGTGTGTTTCGGCGCCAGATTCTCATGTGGTTGTGTTTTTGCGATTGTTCCAACTTTTCACAAAATCTCTGCAGTACCTCATTCCTTTCACTCAAATCAATCCCAAGCCATGCAGAAGTGACAATTTATGTTTGGTACTAATTTTGTATGGCTGTCAGATATTTACTATTTTACTAATTTTTCTTTTATTTTTATTTTTGTTTGCAGAGTATATTATGTTATTGTTGGTGCAGTAGTAGAACTAGTAGTAGTCGTAGTACTAGTAGTAGAACTCCAATGAACTAAGTGAAAGAATTAGTCAATTCCTAATTATATCTCCTGAAACCATAAGATATACTCGCCGTGAAATAACCATGCGTGATATATGTATTACCGCAACCAAGGAATGTTTAAATACTAGTACACCATAATCGTATAAAATCCAAGAACACGTGCAAATACGGGTTAGAATTGGTCTTCAGCAACCCATGCTAGTCGTAAAATCGGGAGGTCATGCACTCACACTGACTTGGTTGATGCAAGTCATCGTATACCTATTGCGAAGATCGATGCTCATGTCAATCACTTGATTGTCTGGTCCAGACTCGATTATTTACAGAACGCCGTCATTTTGCTGGTATAGTGCTGAGTGTGGCGTTAAACAGCAAACAAACGAATCAAGAGGGACATTATCGCGTTGTCGCCCAAACAAAACCAAGTAAGTTTCTATTTTGACCAAAGGTCGCGTTGTCGCATTGCCGCCTTTTGAATAATACTAGTATATTTGCGTTTCGCCTTTTAATGGCGACAGGGTTAAAGCGTTCGCTCGTCACGCCGAAGACCCGGGTTCGATTCCCGACATGGGCACAATGTGTGAGCCCTTTTCTGGTGTCCCCCGACGTGATATTGCTGGAATATTGCTAAAAGCGGCGTAAAACCATACTCACTCACTCATTTAATGGCGACAATGCGTCAACGCGTCAATACACAGTCGCCTCTTGTAAAATGAGTAAAAGGCGTTACAGTTTACGACAACGCGACTGTGGCCCTTCTGGGACTCCATATAAATGGGAAATTAATAGACCGTGAACTCACAGCAAATAGACTGTCTTGGTGATTGAAGTCATGTATGACAGGTCGGACTGACCTGCAACAGAGAAAGTAACAAGACATGTCATCACTTCAATGTACAATGACACACAAAGAACAAGGCCATATTTGTAGGCCTGCTCTTGGATCTCCACACCATTGTCATTAAGGGACTGACCATTTAGTAAGGGGTAGTGGGGAGGGTTTGGGGTTTGGGATAGGGGTGAGAATAGTCTTAGGAGTGCCGCTATTTTATGTTACATTTTTTCTTAACACACACACACACACACACACACACACACACACACACACACACACACACACACACACACACACACACACACACACACACACACACACACACACACACACACACACACACACCAATACATGAAGCATTATTTTCCATGCCCCTCCCTCCCACCACCCGCTTAATAAATTACCGGTCCCTATATAATGTTCAAATTTACAGTCGGTTTCTAAGAAGTACCATTTCCTGATTCTATAGGCGTGGAGAAGGAAGCAAGAGCCTCGTCATGGAAACGGCAAGGAGCAGCCATGGGTATAGAACACAGTCTAATCGATATATAGATTGCTGAAGTCTTCACATACAAATACCCCGTGAATAATGCACTGTTGCTACCACCTCCTACACATTATACAGTAAACTACGGTTATAACGAACTCAAAGGGACCACTAACTTTAGTTTGTTATAACCGTAGTTCGTTATAAGCATATATACAGTATAACAATAGCAAATAGACGTCAGTTCGTTATAAGCGTGTTCGTTATAAACGAACTTTACTGTAGGCCAGTTATGGGGACGGTGGGGTAGCCTAGTGGTTAAAGCGTTCGCTCGGGTTCTATTGCCAACATGGGTAAAATGTGCGAAGAGCATTTCTAGGGCCCCCCGCCGTGATATTGCTGGAATGCGGCGTAAAAGCGGCGTAAAAGCGGCGTAAAACCATACTGAATCACTCTAAATGTTATGAATTTTAATCTTAACATCCAGATGTGTGTACTACCTCATCCACATATATCAGCTGTCGTTGTAACTCTCACACCCAGTATATCAGCTGTCGTTGTAACTCTCATACACACAGTATATCAGCTGTCGTTGTAACTCTCACACCCAGTATATCAGCTGTCGTTGTAACTCTCACACACAGTATATCACCTGTCGTTATAACTCTCACACACAGTATATCACCTGTCGTTATAACTCTCACACCCAGTATATCACCTGTCGTTGTAACTCTCACACCCAGTATATCACCTGTCGTTATAACTCTCACACCCAGTATATCACCTGTCGTTATAACTCTCACACACAGTATATCACCTGTCGTTATAACTCTCACACACAGTATATCACCTGTCGTTATAACTCTCACACACAGTATATCACCTGTCGTTATAACTCTCACACACAGTATATCAGCTGACGTTATAACCCTAACACAAGTATATATCACCTGTCGTTATAACTCTCATACACACAGTATATCAGCTGTCGTTGTAACTCTCACACCCAGTATATCACCTGTCGTTATAACTCTCACACACAGTATATCACCTGTCGTTATAACTCTCACACACAGTATATCAGCTGACGTTATAACCCTAACACAAGTATATATCACCTGTCGTTATAACTCTCATACACACAGTATATCAGCTGTCGTTGTAACTCTCACACCCAGTATATCACCTGTAGTTATAACTCTCACACACAGTATATCACCTGTCGTTATAACTCTCATACACACAGTATATAAACTGTAGTTAAAACTCTCACACACAGTATATAAGCTGACGTTATAACTCTAACACACACTATCAGCTGTCCTCATAACTATCACATCCATAGTATATCAGCTGTCGTTGGAAATCTCACATCCATAGTATATCAGCTGTCGTTATATTTCTCACACACACAGTACATCAGCTGTCGTTATAACTTTGACACACAGTACATCAGCTGTCGTCATAACTCCTTCACACACACAGTATATCAGCTGTCGTCATAACTCCCTCACACACACAGTATATTAGCTGTCGTTATAACTCCCTCACACACAGAGTATATCAGCTGTCGTTATAACTCACACACACAGTATATCACCTGTCGTTATAACTCTCTCACACACACACACACACACACACACACACACACACACACACACACACACACACACACACACACACACACACACAGTATATCAGCTGTCGTTATAACTCCCTCACACACACAGTATATCAGCTGTCGTTATAACTCTCTCACACACAGTATATCACCTGTCGTTATAACTCCCTCACACACACAGTATATCACCTGTCGTTATAACTCACACACACACACACACACACACACACACACCAAACGTATATAATCATGAAGCCCAAAATACGTCAGTTCCATCCCAATATTGATCACCTTGACAACACATACAGGCAACCAGTAAAATTCACTCCACACCTGAACACAGAATATTCCTATCCAAATTTGAGTCACTTAAATACTGTCCACTTTAGCAGTAAGCGCCAATGAACCACGAGGCGACAAAACCTGCCAACAGTGCGTTATGAGATATGATCATAGACTTACTCAACTATCTTCTCCTTCTGTGTGGGGTCCGCGTTCTGCACTAACGTCTCCATCTCTGACATCCACCTCAATCCTCCCACTGCAGCCCTGGGGTCTCTCCGTCTGTCAGTGTGTCTGGGAAGGCTGCTTTCACGTGTATCCAAGGCTGAGTTTAAATCCGCTTTGCTACCCTCGCGGAGGTAATGACTCCTGCGGTAATCCTTCGTCCTAATCGGCACGGTGGTACCCTCGTCACGTGACATTGACCCGGCTAATCTCCCGGCAGGATTATCAGTTTACAGCGAGCTGATAAAGCTGCCCACTTGGCATGAAATATTAAACATGTTCCCGACTACAGGCCGCTTGGTTCGTTACAATCAATGGATACGTTTTTAATTGGATTGCCTATGATAAAAGCGACTAGCGTACAACACGCGATATTGTGTCTGAGTATTGTATGACCGAGGTTAGCTATAAGACGTAACCAGTAAGTTTCATTATGTAGTTAAGTGTACTGCTGTAATTTGAACGGTCGTACACAAACTTTGATTCCCTGCCTACGTTCACATATTCCTTAATACAGACAGACAGACAGACATGTTTATTCAGTAAAAGGCCAATGGCCCAAAATACAGACATGTGAGCATGACATTTACAGGGCACAGAATTTATCATTAATTATTTTGTGAGCATAATATAAGAATTTACAAACTAGAAATAATGTTTGCTCATTATAATTACTAAGAATATTTATTACATGAGAATTACTGTAATGAGTAGGCATAGGAAGATTAACAAGGTATTTTTGTCTTAGGGCAGAATATAAATTACAATTAAAGAGTATATGGAATTCATCCTCAATGACATCAACTCCCTTACTACTACAATAGTTACAGAATCTGAGTGAACGGTCTGTTTTACTATATCTGCCAGTTTCTAAAGCTATTTTAAAATTTGAACATCCGAATTTAGTAAAAGCAATTCTTAAATGGGTAGGGAGTGGACATGACAAGTACCTTTCAACATTTAACATTGATTTAAAATGCTTATAAAGATCACATTTTGGAGTACAAATACAACGGGTACTGAAGGGGTTCGGGAAGATTACTACACCGCCAATCCAATTTTGCAAATATAGCGTGTTATCTCGACGTTCACATCACTTCGGGATAACGGTTGTTCGAGGTTGTGAAATTATGATGCTACTCGAAGTGAACTTGGTAATTTGAAATATTTCGACATAACCTGATTTCGAGAGAAATTACAATGGTTATCGTTTAGTTCATGTACGTAATGTAACCGCTATGAAACAGAAAATGAATACCATTTTTTGGTAATTTGTCCTTTTTATAAAAGTAGTAGGGAAAATTTAATTCCAAAATGTAACCATGTGCAACCATCTGTTCCAAAATTTATCAGTCTCCTATCTACCAGAAATGATTCTGTTATTAAAAACCTGTCCATATATTTAAAAAGACATTTACTCTTGTAAATACAAATGTAAAAAATATGAACGTTTGTTGTACGAAAATTTGTGCATGTGCATAGCATATATTATTCCTGTAAATGAACTCAGGAATAAACTTACAGTAAACTACGGTTATAACGAACACGCTTATAACGAATTGACGGATATAACGAACAAACTTTTTTAGTCCCGACTATTTGCTGTAGTTATGCTGTATATACGTTTATAACGAATTACGGTTATAACGAACTAAAATTAGTAGTCCCTTTGAGTTCGTTATAACCGTAGTTTACTGTATAGTTGTTGATTTACACCGCAGTCAACAATATTCAAACTCAGTCACGACACTTTGTAATTTAACTTTAAAATGCATATTAGGACATCCTTTACATCACCTAAGTTTCCCGTGAAGATCTGGGTTAGAAAAGGTCTTTTTTCAGCAACCCATGCTTGCCGTAAAAGGCGACTATGCTTGTCGTAAGAGGCGACTAACGGGATCGTAGGGTCAATATCACGACGGGGGACACCAGAAATGGGCTTCACACATTGTGCCCATGTCGGGAATCGAACCCGGGTCTTCAGCGTGACGATCGAAAGCTTTAACCACTAAGCTGCCCGACCCACTAATTCCACTAATATAGTGACGTGTCGCATGTGTACAGGTGTGTGTGGCTGTAATAGAACCAGCCCACCCAGATACCAAGCCGCAGTTTTAACATTGATATCACACTAAGAAACAGTATACTGACTCCGAGCCGGCCATTCCTTGTTTTGTCTCTTTAATGCCGAGCTCCTGGCATAATTCAAATTTATTTCCTTATACATGTATATAGTATTTACAATACGGGAACACACTCAGCTAATACCCAGTGCTCTGCTTAATCATATGATATTTTATGACCCTTGAAACATGAAACCCAACTTCCTCAGTATGAGGACCGGTGATACTGTGAAACTAACACTCCTTTACACATCCCTCACACAGCAATTTGTTGCATCAACCTTGATTAAATATTTCCCCGGGAACATGAGGACAACTGCTGACTATGCACATTATTTAACATCGCAATGTTTAGGAACGCACGAAGTGCTCTACACTACAGCGCATGGGGCTGCATTGGGTTCTCCTGGCCATACCATCGCGTACAAGATGTATCTATGAAAGGCATTAACGTATTTTATGAACGCTTCATTATCAGGGGAAACCCGCTTCAGCCCAACATGTAGGACGACACGTGGCAGTGATGGTCAGCTCATGTTGTACCTGTTCCAGAGGCAAGAGAGTTAACTGACTATAAAAGTCCAGTTTCCACCCTTGCCGAACTAGGCTGGTGTTATGGAGTTACATTTTGACTGGACTAACGAGTCTATGCATAGTCCAATCAACCTCGCGCAACGAAATCGAAATCCGGTTCGTAAACTGTCGTGCAGATTTCGGTCGATTGCAGCATTTGCAAAGCATGTGCACAACCAACACGTTGTCAACAGATATTTTCCTAACCTTTTCATGTGTTTAACCAAGGTGCTCACGTGATTTGATGCACTTCGTGATGTAAGACCCGTTTTATCACAATATAGATCTTGATTATCGATCAGATCGTCTTGACTTGGCGCTGCCATTTTGATTGAAGTAAATGCAAGTAACATGAGAGGTGAAATCTGATTGGTCCATAGGAGAGGCAAAGAAGGGACATAACTCGTAATAGCCACTGGTGGCGCTACGATCGAGCCCAGGAATTCTAGCCTAGTTCGGCAAGGGTGGTAACTGGACTTTTGTAGTCAGTTAACTCTCTTGCCTGGGGAGACACTGGAATCGCACAGGCGGACCATCCTACACGCCAATGACATACATCAATAAGGATCCTGCATGACATTCCATGACATACCATGACATTCCAATAACACAGAAATACTGAAAATGTAAGTGGGTGTGTTTTGTGCGTATATTTGTGGACCTGCCAAAACCAATATTGTCTTACAATATCATAACAATTTCCTTTTTTTAAACATTTCCGAAAGAGATAATCATGAAGTGTTATGAACAATCGCCTCCTAACAGTAAATAATAGCAATGCCCATGACAATAAAATGAATAGAAACATACCAACTGGAACCGTCATGTGGCTCGGCTACCAAGTGCTCCCATTTCTAATGAAGTCCGGTCTTAGGTTTAAGGCCGCTTTAATGGTTTAATTAGAAGATAAATACTATGTGTGTGTCTATTTCCGGGATTTTATTGAGTATTTGCATCTTGGAAAATCATCTCGAGACCCGAAAGCGTTAAGTCAACGAAAGTCCCCTCGTAAAATCCCGCGCACTGTTGACAGTCAACACGCCATTTTGTAAAACTCGGTCACCGGTAGTGATGTCAAACTTCAACATATTTGTTGTACATATTTGGTAATTTCTCTGAGGTGAAGGTCCTTGAATGAAAGTACACACGATCATTGTTAACTGCTTTTTACTGTTTCGTGATGTGGATCTTGCATATCTTTTGTACATTTTTTTCACACAATTAATTTCACTTTGGATATTAATTTTAATTAAAAATTTAAAATCCCAATAATTCCCATGAGTAGAGAAAATCAAAATATTTGTTATGAATGTTAATACTGTATTTCAATTTGCGTCCATTGTTAATTAGTATGCAAAAAATGCTGAGTAATTATGTATTCCTACACAGTGATTCGGTCGCTTGCTTCAGGGAATGCAAATCATATTTTCACCCTTTGACATTTGGTCATGTGACCCAAATTAGCCAATCACAACACAGAACACACTTGCTGTAGGTTTACAATGATGAATTTATACCACTAGAAGTGTCACCACTACCAATGTTGCTGACATTTACAAACAATAGCTCTTTGAATTCAACTGATTTGTGTGTCAAAAGTTTCTTTTGTGCAGTGATATGACACACGTTGCACAAAATGAAATAAAACAGTTAGTTTTTTCTTTCAAATTATCCAATATTACATAACAAATATATGTCAAACGATGCATACTTTATCCTAAAGATTACATACTACGTAGGTAAGAAATATTTACAACATATGTAATACGTGTATAAAACATAAGAGCTGTACAGAATATACCCCCTGATCTTTGTTCTGACATATACTTGTATACTTGACAAATCTACATATACTTGTATACTTGACAAATCTACATATACTTGTGTACTTGACAAATCTACATATACTTGTATACTTGACAAATCTACATATACTTGTATACTTGACAAATCTACATATACTTGTGTACTTGACAAATCTACATATACTCGTGTACTTGACAAATCTACATATACTTGTATACTTGACAAATCTACATATACTTGTGTACTTGACAAATCTACATATACTTGTATACTTGACAAATCTACATATACTTGACAAATCTACATATACTTGCATACTTGACAAATCTACATATACTTGTACACTTGACAAATTTACATATACTTGTATACTTGACAAATCTACATATACTTGACAAATCTACATATACTTGACAAATCTACATATACTTGTATACTTGACAAATCTACATATACTTGACAAATCTACATATACTTGACAAATCTACATATACTTGTACACTTGACAAATTTACATATACTTGTATACTTGACAAATCTACATAGATAGATAGATTGTCTTTATTTCCTCCAGTACTGAAGATACATTATATAATATACATCGTAGATACTTGAATTAGATTAAAACTAAACAAAGAAGTTACATGTCATGGTGAAGGAGCTATGAACAAGTGTTGCCACTTGTTAACGTAATGAGAGACTAGTATCATAGTTTCGCCCCATATCTCAAGCTCAAGGTCTTTCATGCAATCAGGCAGCCCACCTAAGAG